GGGGGGGGCTCCGTCCCTGGGAGTTTTGGAGAGGAGACGGGACATTGTCTGGAACGGTGCAGGGTTGTCCAACCTTTGCAACTTTTAAGACTTCTGTCTGTGGAGATTCTCAGCCTTCCAGGTGGATGAGAAGCGAAAATGTCTTCCCTCTTGGAAAAAAGACCTCTAGGTTTAAAACTGGTGGACTTCCAACTCCCAGAATTCCCCAGCCGTCATAGCCTTTTAAACGTCTGAAAAAGCTCCCGGGTCGCACAGCCTCGGCCTAGAGTCTCCTGCCCCAGCAGGGGGTTGGACTAGATGACCTCCGAGGTCCCTCCCAACTCTGTTTAATGCTGCCGTTTCAGGAGATCGACAGCATCTGGATCTCCAGCCGGCTCCTGAACCACGATGTGCCGTAAGTCTCCGGGGCGTTTTGGGGGGGTCCTGCGGGCGGCCTTCATGAACAGGGCGGCTGCCCCCCCTCCTCCCCCAGCCTCTGTGCCTTTTGGGGGGGTGGGGGGATAGCTGGGGCGCATCTTCAGACCAACGGCCAGAAACATCCTCTCCACGGAATAAAGGGGTGGAATTGGCAGGTGGGGAGTTTGACGCTTCCAGGTGTGCTAAAACCCCCCGGAGTTCCCAGCCAGCTTTGCCCCCTTCTGGGGACCTCGAATTGGGCCCGAGGCTCCCTGTCCCAGGAGCAGGAGAAAAGGGGGAGGGGGCTTCTGCAGCGCCCCCACCCCCCCGAATCCCTTCGGGGCCACAGCAGTGTCAGAATGGCACCTCCTGCCTCCTCCGGCCGCTCTGTGGGCGTCCTCTCTGCAACAATTTGCGCTTTTGTAGAGCGACGTCCCGGTGCTGGATGGTTCAGGGTCAGTGGAGGCTTTCGAGAATCGGTTGCACCGGGATTGGTGGAATTGGGAGCCGTGTTTGAGCGGCGGATTGGACTGGATTGAGACCACCTGTAAAACGGGAAGGAAGAAAAAAGGGAGAGGGGAAGGAAGGAAGGAAGGAAGGAAGGGTTAGAAGGGGGAAGGAGGAAGGAAGGGAGGATAGAGGGGAGGGAGGGAGGAAGGGGAGAGAAAGGCAGGAGGGAGGAAGGAGGGAAGGAAGAGAGGATGGGAGGGAAGAAAGAGGGAGGGAAAGACAGAAGGAAGGAAGGAAGGATAGAGAGAGGAGGGAGGAAGGAAGGAAGGGAGGATAGAGGGGAAGAAGGGGAGAGAAAGACAGGAGGAAGGAAGGATAGAGGGGAGGGAGGGAGGGGAGAGAAAGACAGGAGGGAGGGAGGGAGGAAGGAAGAGGATGGGAGGGAAGAAAGAGGGAGGGAAAGACAGAAGGAAGGAAGGAAGGAAGGAAGGAAGGAAGGAAGGAAGGAAGGATAGAGAGAGGAGGGAGGAAGGAAGGGAGGATAGAGGGGAGGTAGGAAG